TTTTTTTTTTTTTGTCTTTTTCCTGTCCTGCAAAACTTTTCTCTGTGTTCAAAATGTTCCCAATCTACATGGAGCCAAAGCCAGGAACTTTGCAAAATAAAAAGCCCTAGAGAGGGTCAGAGCCACCCCAATGGGCTCAGTGTCTGGGACACTTACCTGTGATGCAGAAGACACAGGTTGAAGTCTTTCACCTGCCTGATCTGGAGATGTGAGCCAGGGTGGGTCATCTCCTAGGTGAGTGCTCTTACCACAAGGCTCTTTTATGAGGAGATCATTCTTGTCTTGAAACAAAATTGCATTCTGGAAAAGCCCTGAACATTTAGAGAAAACTTTCCCACTGAAAGGTTGAACGAAGCTGGTAGATTCCCCCAAGTTTTGCTTCGGGTGGATGTATATGTTCCAATGGGGGAAAAAAACCTATTTCCTGAAATTGCAGGCCAGCTCTGGTTGCTGTCTCTATGTAACAAGGAGGGTACTATGGTGCACATTTAAGTAAGTAAAGGGTGTTTTGCACATGTTAGCCTTGCAGATCCTAAATAGCTATCAGAGGGTGTGCTGTGGCTTCTGGTTCTTGTGCCACCCTACAGAATCTGGAAATAATTCCTGGATTTAAAGCTTGGGGGTGCTGTGTGCATCAGGAGTCTGGCTCGACTTTCAGGCCTAGCAATTAGGAAAAGATAATCTCTCCCTGTAAACCAAGCGTCTGATTTCGGAAGCAATCGTCCTCTACCTTCATAGTGTGGATCTCCCTGCTGCCCATGCACGCGCACCCACGGTTACTTGCTGGTGTAGAATCTCGCTTTTAAGGGTGTCTTCCTGAAACCCATTTTAAAATATGCCACGTAAACCTTCTGGATCTTCCTGCGCTGAGATATCTGCAGTAGTGCAGGTGCCGAAAGCTCAGAGATGATCTGAGTTGTGGCCATGGGTCGCTTTGAGAAAGGGCAGCCCTCTGTTTCGAGATGACCTTTCCAACCCAGATCCAGCTGATACTCATAATCATTCTTAGGCAGTAAAGTCCTGCATGCTTTCCCCAGACTGCCAGAGAACAAGTCCACAATACCTTCCTCCTCCTGCGGTACGTTACATGTGAAACGGGGAGAGAGGGCTCTTTCGTCCTGTGCCACCTGCGTGCTGCATGGTGCCCGTTCATAATATAGAGGCACACAGAAAACACTCGTTCTACAGATCGCGATGAACAGCTACTGCAAGTGCTAGGTATCGTGGGCCAGATCCTCGGGAACATCTGAGCTGTGCTCAGCATAGGTAAAAGGGCTTTCTAGCATGTGCCCTGTCTCCCACCTTGAACTGCAGGCTATTTCAGCCCCTTGCACAAAGTAGAGCAACCCCAGAGAGGCTCGTGCTTGTTTCTCCCCTCTCCAAATCCCGTTCCACTATTTAAGGATCGCCAAAGCAAAGAGCAGCTTGTTTGGGGACAACCCTGGGACCCACGCAGTGCTGAGGACTCTTCCATAGAGCTGGCTGTACCAGGTTGGTGCCATGCAAGCACTGAGACCTGAATGCCCATTTGGGCAGACTCCCAGTCCATTTCACCGTGCAACTGGAGCAAGGAGGATGAAGCCAGAGCTGTGCAGCTACCTCTGTTAGGATTATCCCAGTATAAGGAAAACTTTCAGGCCCTGGCTCGTGCCTTGAGCATGAGGATTGCTATCAGGATCATTCCAAACACTCGCAGTGAAGCCTAAAGCAATAGCCTAAACCCTTTGCCTTTGTTTCAGTGTAGTTACTGGCTTGAAACCCAGTTCAGGTTTACTCCAAAGCCAAGCAGTTTTTCTGGGTCTCGGTTACGTGGGCTGATTCCATGAGCCGTGTACGGGCATCAAGGGCAGCTCTCAGTTTCACAAGTTTGGGCCGGCTTTTGCCTCTGCACTTTTGAGAACGAGTGACTCTAAAGATGAACAGTGCTGCACACCCAGGTGTGTTGCACCCAAAATAGTGACTCCTGGGAACTAGTGAAGTTTACTTTCCTTATTAGCTAATGCTGCATGAACTATCCTGGCCTCTGTCACATGGAGGTGGAACGGGGCACATGGGGCAGCATCGTGGCCACAATGCATGACAGCTGCTGGGCTGATGGAACAAATGATGCTGTTTTGGAAAGCCTCCCGATCCCCTCCTCCTGGGTTGGCACCTGGGGCTGGTGCCCTGGCTTGCCCATTAGCACCCCCCGCCTTTTTGTTCTGCTACTGCTTTCACAACCACCTCTTTCATGCCAGGCTGGAGTGATAAAGCTGTGATATGTATCAAAGTTTTCTCTGTGGTCAGGGGACCACGCTGTACACACTGGGGAGGCAGGGTTAGAAATGAGACTGTGCACGTCTCCATAAGCTAGTGACACTGCAAGTGGCAGTTAATAAATGAAGCTGGGGCTAGCCCTCTGCTCACAGGCCTGGGAATTGGAAGCTCCTATGTTCTTGATCTCACTCTGGTGGGTTCCCTCCTTTTGGGCAAATCCCAAAGCCTTTCAGCATCCATTTCCCCATTAGTAGCGGAAGAAGCTACTTGTGTCCCAAATGAATTGTGGGATTTGGTTAATGTTTCTAAAGCACGTTTCCTGCTCCAAGACGTAGTCTTTTCTTTTAGGATCTTCCTGTAAGGGCTGGTCAGTTGGGACAGGAATGTTGTAATGCTGCATTTACTGAAAATCAGCTCAAAGCTGAGCATCATATCTGAGCACAGCTTAGTCACAGCTGAGTCAAACCCCGGGGATGTGCACAGTCTAGACTTTGTGCCTCTGTCCCTAGAAGGGCCATATCAAGCCCCAGGAGCTAAGCACTACTAAAGCGCTCGGATCCAAACTCCTAGGCGTGGGTCATTGCTTTGCGCTCCTGACCCCCTGCCCTGAGCTCCCTGGTCAGCGCTAACACCATGCGTGGAGCGTGGTAGGGAACAAAGCGATGGTCTCGGGAGGATGCTACTGAACAGCGTGATTTCCTGTTCGCATGAAGGGAAGCTATAAGCACAGGAAAAACAAACCCCAAAGGCATTATTTCCAAGGATATGGCTGTGTGGGGCAGCAGGCAGCGCAGGAAGGGAACGAAGGACCCGTTAGCTTGAAGTAACCCACCACAGTCTACCACCAGGATTTCCCAACTTCCACCTCATGCTGCGGGTTGTTACCTGCAGATGATTTTCACTTTCTGAGCAGCTGTACGTGGCAAGCCCTGTCCTGTCAGAAGCTCTGCTCCGCTACCAGGCATCAGGATAATTTATTCTTATGTCTCTCTGAGCTCTGCCGCCCTGACTGCCCATGCACTGCCTTGCCATTGCTGTGCAGCGGGGTGGTCTGGGCTGGTTATTTCCCTTATGCACCCAAGTCCCCACCCCCAGACCATCTAAGGAGACACTGAGTACCCAGCATTAGCTTATAGGAAGAGAAAGCTCCCAGCCTCCTACAGCCTCTCCAGATGTGCAGAGGACAGCACAGCTAGGTACTGAGCAAACGAGACCTGACCCGGGAGCTCCGCCCTCGACAAGCAGAAGCAACGGAGCCTGTATTTGCTTTGGAGTCAGACTTGTGCACGCTTGAGACCGGGACCTGCCGCGTCAGCCATGGGGCACAAATTCATGGAGAAAGTGTCTTCTTTCCTGTTTGAATATGACACCCCCAGGATGGTGCTGGTCCGGAACAAGAAGGTGGGGCTCACCTTCCGGCTCATCCAGCTCGTGGTCCTCGGATACATCATTGGGTAAGGTTTTTTCCGGCTCAACCCAGGGCTGGCAAGCCATTGAGCTCGGTGCTCGTGGCACCAGGTTGTGATTGGCTCACCTGTTTGTCTGCCACTTTGGGGGGAAGAAGTAAATCTGCAGCCCTGCCAGCCTGGCGCCCCGAGAGATCTGGGGCAGCAGCGCGTTGCTGGTTTTCAAGCTCCATGGGAAACTGTAATGCACTTCCTTGTGCCTCCCCACGCTTTCAGCTCCAGACAGGCTTCATTTTCTGTTCTGAACTGTTAGCCGAGCAGTTAAGCTAGCTGAGCTGTTAACTGTTAAATGTTACCACTGGCCTGGTAAAGGGTTGCTGTGTACTGCCCAGAGGGGCCTGCATGTCTGTGCTGTATAACCCACATCCACTGCGCACAGCCTGTTGATTTTGCTCAGCTGCCTGGAGGAAAGGCTTTTTAGAAAATCCTCAGTGCCTGCTGCTGTGACTGTTTCCATTTTTTTCGAAGGAAAAAAGCAGCGAGGGACAGGTTTGCGATTTGTGGCATGTGAACTATAGTGAGGAGGTTGTCAATTTATTCCCTGTTTCCCAGAATGGAGATAGGCCCAGCCCGCAGGTTACTGAAGAGCCATGGCATGTGGTTCCCCCAGGACAGCATGGTTTCCAAAGTCGGTGTTGTTTTACTGGTATGTGAGACCAGCCCTGAAGGCAGGCAGTGGCTCTTCAGGAGCTGCTTCAAAAGGGAGTAAATAAAGCAAACAAACCTAAAGCTCCTGATGGAAACTGGGGGTTTAGAGTCTCTCAGCAAAAGGGGCTAGCCCGATTGGCACGTATTGGTTTTTCAGGGCTTTTGTACGTGTGCTCTGGGTGTGGGAGGGGCGTGCTTTAATTGGAGTGGGTCCGAGAGCTGCTCTAGTTAAAGCGTCTCATGTATCAGCGTCCCCACGCTTAAAAATGGCCACGGTGGCACTTTAGATAAAGCTTGTTGACCCAGCTTTCGATAAAGCACTCCTGCTGCCATTTTTAAGCGCGGGAACGCTGACACACAGGACTGCTGCACTGCAGTAATTGCAGCGCTCCAGCAGGCTCGATTAATCAAGTCTGCTCCAACACGCTGTAACTGCAGCACGCTGCTAGTATATAGGCAGCCTCAGTGACTGCTCCTGACCCAGCCACCTTGGGCAGCTGCTAAGCCCTGTTACTTTGTCCTGTGGTTTTCAAGAGCCTCTGGATGATGGGTTCAACGCATCCTTTGGCTTCCAGATATAAGGCGAGCGAGCCTGGTTGTCCACCCAAACATCTCAGCAAAGAGCACGGGTGCGGCTCGGAGCCACCATAAGTCACTACAGACTCCGAAATGCCCACCAGCCCCACACCAGCGCCTCGCTTGCTCCTCTGTCATCTGTCTCTGGCATGGGGTGAGTGGTGCAGCCCAGTCTGTGCAGCCAGGCCGTGTTGGCCTACCGGCTGCCTGGCCGCTGGGGCTCCCGTCGAGCTGCCAGAGGAACGTGGAGCCCCAAGGGAGGGCAACTGCGACGGAAGGAGAGTAGCAGACCTCCGGCTCTGGTCACTACTTACATCTCTTGGCACCAGTGGGGATGAGTTTCAGTCCCTCCTCACTCCTCTCCAAACACAAGAGGGGGTGGCAGTGCTAGAGAAGGGCCTTAATTCCTTTAAAAAACTTTTTGTGAGATGTTTCCTTAAGTGAGGGCCCCAAAGACTCCAGGGTTGTTGCAATGCGGGGCAGGAGGGTGGTGGGGTGAACAGTATCTGCCCCCCTGGCCCCTGAGGAGAGCACAGGCCCTGGCTTGTGAAACCTGTGTCTAGGACTGGCTGAGAGCTGAGGGTTTATCGTCTTCCCTAACCCTCCCTTTTTTCTGACCAGCCTCATCTTCAGCTGCTGGACTGGACTGCTTGGGCGCATCCGGGCGAGCATGGACGTTTCATTCCCCAGGGATAAGTAGCAGCGGTGCACCTTGTGCCGCCGCAACTTATCCTAAGGAAACACCCATGCCGTGCACACTTTGGCGCCAGCAAGTTACCCCGGGTGCAGTAAGGGAGGCTGGGGCCAGCACCGTGCTGGCCCCAGCAGCCTTACCTGGGGTCCTGTGGGCTTCCTGGGGCTGCAGCTGTGGCGATCCTGCTGGGCAGAGCCTGGCGGGCAGCTGCGGCCCGGCTCTGGGCAGCCTGGCTCCGCTCTTCTGCAGCACCCGCTGCCCCAAGCGTGCGCTGCTCCAGTTTTTCCAGGGGTCAAAAAAACCCGCAGAAAAGAAATTGGAGCAGCGCACACATGGGCAGCGCGCCCTCGCAGCGCAGAGAGCACCGGACTGTGTGCTATGTGGTGCTGCAGATGTGTTTGCAGTGCCCCATACCACATGGCCGGGCTCATCCGGATGCGCCCCTTAAGTCTCCGCAGAGGTCAAGTATGAATGTGAACCAGAAAGGTGAGGTTAGGGGAATTAACATGGGCCCCACATGAGAGAGCAAAGCCCCTGCCAGAGCTCCCTGAAAACCAGATCCCAGAGTTAGGGTCTGGCTTGGTTTTGTCGTCTTGAATACACGCAACAGAAACAGAATAAGGGCACAAGCTAGGCCGAGCTGAGTACATTTGCGAAAAGGTGGCCTGCTGGTGGATAGAAGGTAGCTTAAAATCCTGTTGGTTGGATTTGGTTTGATGCTTTCTCTCTTTAACTCCAGCACGCTTTCTTCCGTGTGAGACTTGCTGGAGGACTTCATGGGCCGTCTCTGCCAGACGGCACTTCTGGTGCTCTCTCGTGGCCAAAATGCTTTAAGACTGTAGTGGTCCTAGTTCTCTGACGGATCCATGATTATTTTTATTTCCCCTAGGCTACAAAAAGATGTTGCATCGTCTTGGAATAAAGTGTGGTTGTTCAGGTATCCATGTATGTGGTCCTGGGACAAACCCTGAAAAGGTTCAGAGGGCAAGAAGTGTTAACGGTTTGTCCCAAGACATTGCACAGTACATCTGAGCAATTGTCCCAGGATTGCAGAAGTGGATCAACGGCAGAAAAGTGGCAGTGTATTCAGCTGTTCAGTAAACCCCACCGTATGCGCCCCTGTATGTGCACCAATCCTGGGCTTTTTATGTTCTGGGACAACCACGGGCACAACTAGTCCCAGGACATATGCAAGGTCTGTTCCTAGCCATAATCTTTTCCCTACCAGTTTCAGGTCGCAAGCACGTTTCTCCTTTGTGAACAAGCCTGAGGGAGCTGGATGGTTTTACTTTCTTTGAAAGCAAGTTTGCCTGGCAAACTTCTTTTCGTTAAGTGGGTAAAGCAGTTTAGTGCTTTTGAAGTAAAGCTTGTTGGGAAATTGCTGAATGTGCTGGACATCCGGCTTGCTTCTGTGAAGAAGCAGTATTGTAGTGAAGCCAGCTGTGCTCGTGCGTAGCTGTGACGGGCCCCTTAACACGTGGCAAAGACAGAGGACTGAACTCTCTGGCCCTGGCTTCATTTTCAAAAGATGAGATGCCCTTTGCTGGGCCAAGGGAGGCTCTGCATTAGCTTTGAGGCTTGCATTGTCTCCGCGGGCCAATCGCTAAAGGGTCATGGTTGTATCCAGTTGGCTAGTACATTATAGATAGGGAAGTGGGGCCTGGCCACCTGCCAAAACACGGAGGCTGGTTTACATGTTTCTAGCTTCCCCTTCCTCAGTACATGATTGTCATCTGTACACATCCTGAGATGAAAGGTTATCTCTGAACACAGTGCCAGGCTCTCATCTCTGTGTGGGGCCTGTGGGTTTCCTTGGTTTTTCAGTGGTTGACAAGTTTACATGCAGAAACTGCTCCAGCTACGGGACGACTAATGGCTCTTCTGCTAGTATTTTCCTTCTTGTGCTGCTGAGAGAAGCACTGGGGTTTCTGTTTCCCAGGCTGGGTTCAGGAGGATTGGCAGTTAGCGTGCGCAGTGTGGGACAATGATACGGTATTTGTCTTGGACTTGCTAATGCCAGGGCACGTGCTGTATACAGAATGCATGTAAGGCAGTTCTACCGTGCTGGCTAGATCCCAAAAACTTGGATGTTTATCCACAAGGCCCTAATCTTCATTCTGAGCATCTCCAAGCTAGGGGAAGTTGTAATTCATATTATAGGCTCTCCCAGCTAAGGGGCCTCATTTACATGCATATAGTAAGGCAATCCTTTTCTCCCAAAGCTCTCAAATCTAGATGGGCAAAGGCCCAAAGAGAAAGCAATGTCCCTCGTTTGCCACTGGGAGGTTAAGCTGACAGCTGGGGTTAACAACAACTGCACGAGGTGATGTGCACGTTTCTTAGGGCTGTTGCTACTCAGATCAGCGGCACGTTTAACTAGTAGGGTTGTGCGAAGCTTCGGTCCCTGATTCAATTTGGTGGAGATTTGGCCCAACTCGGTGGCCGAATCTCCGAATCTGAACTGAATCAGAAGACCCTTTAATCTCTCCGAATCAAATCGGACGCCTCTGAATCGATTCGGAAAGCTTCGGAGATCTGGACATAGACACAGCTTTAAATGTTTTTTCTACATCCTTCTAGGAAGCAGGTGGCTCGTGGGCGCTGCAATGCTGGGGCGCGTGAAGCATCCCACAGAAGCACGGGGGGCTCCCCAGCGCGCTCAGCAGCAGATCTGGAAGTGGACCAGGAGCACTTCCGGGTCCGCTGGGGAGGAGTACTTGTCCCTTGGTGTCCCCTACCTGCTTTTTCCGCGACGCAGAGGAGTTGTACGTGCAGCCTGTTGGCCACTATGGAGCTTCAGTGCACCAGATCTGGCTTGGTTACCTAGCCACACGGGCGACGTTAGCCAGGGTTGAGCTCATTCGTATGCACCGTTGAGCAACTGAGAGAGATACGGCAGTCCAGGCAACAGCCCTTGCTGTTGCTGGCCTCCACCCGTTCCTCCCAGCAGATAATCAGTGAATGGCTGCGGCCTCAGCCGCAAAGCCGAGCTCTGGCTCTGAACTCGGAGAGGAAGAAGGGGCTTGTGGTTAAGCTGTTGGATGGGAATGCAGAGACTGGGGATCACTTGGTTTGCCTGGGTTTTGCCCCTCATGGCACAGTATGGGCAATGGACACCCATCTCTCAGCTCCCTCCAGATCCTTAGGCAAAGCTCGGAGTATTTATTTAAAGGTAGTTTTGCTGTCTGAGGTTTGGGTTTATTGACAAAGGTCAGCATTGCGGGGCCTACACCTCAGCCCCTCCACCTCTGAGCAAGGGTGAGCCTCTAGGAAGAGAGCTGAAGGCTCCTGCCCCCTTCTCCCTTGAGCCACAGCTCTTAGGGCTTTCTACTTGCCGCCTTTCCATTCATTCCTACAGACACCGGGATGCCCGTTCGTTAGGCTGTTCCCTGCCAGTCCTCCACAGACACATGCCCTCAGAGCAGCCCTCCTCCTCTCTGGCCAACATCCGCATCCACCTGCCCTGCAGCCTCTTACCCTGAGCTGCAGTCGGTCGCCCGTTTGGCAGCAGCTGAGGAGGCAGCAGACCCACTCTTTGACTTTTTAGTGGTTGTCGTGGAGTGGGACCTATTAACCCCAGCACGCACGGTTAACCTAGCAACTGGGGTTAACAACACCTGCAAGAGGGTTAACAGCAACTCCTGCTGCTCGGTTCTCTGCAGTACCTAGGAAAGTACTAAAGGAAGAGACAGTTTCCAGTTCCAGCCTCCATCAGCCAGAAACTACAGTGCAGTCCTGCGTTTACACACACATGGCCTTTCTCCCCTTCCAGCTCCCCATCCCCAGCAGGCCCCAGGCATGAGGGTGATGCACACTAGCTCCACAGCCCGGAGAAACCCGGCACAAACATTGTACAGCAATTCACTCTGGCGTCTCAGCTGGTGCTTTGGCCAGGAAGGCTCGTTGCTCAAAGCACGAGCTCCCTGAGCACTTTTTAAAAGTCCCTCCTGAGGTCCTGCCACCACAGAAGTTAAATGGACAACAAGATCTGGGGTGCTGGATCCTATGTGCAGAATCCTACCCCAGCAATGCTTGCAACATTGGAAGACCTGAGCCGGGTATTTTTGTATCATCAAGACATTTTTGCTGCCTACCTTCTGCTTAGAGGTGACATGAGATGCCTAGTGAAGTGCGTCGCTCCCTCTCCCAAAGCAGAGCTGAGTAGTGACAGCCCGAAGATAACTGCACAGCACACCTCATGCAGTTGTTGCCACCTAACACCCCTAAAGTTGTTGTGGTAGACATTGGCGCGCAGGGGCCGTGCATAGACTAACCGCGAGCTGTGTGTGCACGATGCTTCAAAGCGGGCTAAAGGCTTTTGTACCACTTTAATGGTGTTGGTGTTTGCATGCCTCGGCGGCGTATTGCACATTAATTCCAGCCGTTGTAGGAAATTTGGTGGCGTAATGCGCCTTCAATGACTTGGGGCGCCTCTAAGGAGTTTTAGCTTGCCGCCCCTACAGCCATGGAGCAAAGCACCGGGCTCGGTGCAACTCCGTGGCTCTGCAGGCAGCCTGACATCAGCCTGGGAAAGCAGGCTCCACCTAAGAAAAGTGGCGAACCTGATCTTCCCCCTTCCCCGAGCCTGCCTGCCTGAGCTGTGCAGGGGCCCGGTGCTTCCCTCCGCAGCTGCATTGCCCCCCAGGACCGCCTGAGCCTGGTGCCTGCGGGCGGGTGCTGCCTGGGGAGGGGGCCGCCACTGCTGCGGAGAGAAGCACCTGCCCCCGCTGCAGCCCAGGGACTGCTCTGCCTGCCAGCAGCTCGCCCTCCACTCCCCACGGCCAGAGAAGCAGGTAAGTCAGCAGGGTGTGCGCCCGACACCGGGGTTTAATCAGCCCTAAATTGAAGCGGCGTTTTTTAAAACCCACCACTTCAATTTAGGGCCCCCATTTCGTCTGCACGTGCCCATGGTTACTAAAGCTGCTGTTGCTTTATTGCGTGTTCCCACAAATCTGGCAGGGATAGCTGTAGAACTGTTGCCACTGTGGGATTAGCCCCGTCCCGTTAACGATGGGCAAAGTATTTCAGCCTTGCTTGCTGTGGTAAGCTGTGGATGCTTTGGAAATGAACAGGCTTCTCTGGGTATCAGGAACATCACTTCTCTCTTCAAATGCATTTTATAAAATTCAACAGGGAGCACGCTATCTCCTAGTAGGGTTATGAAAAACGAAAGAATTGCTACAAGCTGTCCCAGCCACTAGGATTTCTGGGTTGGAAACTACGAGCCCCTACTACCTGGACCACAAGACCTAGCTGTATTAGTCAAAGCCTACTCGTTAGCCTCTCTACATGGGCTAGCCACCAGTAGAGAGAGACAGGGCACCATACAGAGAGGGCGTGGGTTTTGCAGAGAGGGTTGAATTTGGTCTGCAACCGAGAGGCTTTCTGTACTCTGTCGCCTGAGCTCTCGTGCACTTCTTCTCTCAGCAGGAGAAGTCAGGCATGAACTTCACACGTTATTAACACTGCACGTCAATCGGCGTGTCCCATGCAGCTTTCCACATCTGGGTAGTGAAAGGCACTGCCAAAGCTCACAATCGATACATCTGCCACCTCTGCCTGTATGCTGAGCTCCACCAGCGGAGCTCATCTTGCGTGCCAGGGCCAGCGGGCTCGATGCCCACGTTCTGGAAGGGATGAAAAGCAGAGCTCTCCTTTTTTTAGTCTGGCAGCCTCCTATGTGGACCATTCCACACGGTCGCTTGGATTTCGACCCAAAATGGTCGCTTGGCCTTGTTTATAGTCTCCCTGAGTCACAGTTAATTAAAAAGCAGTTTATTCACGTGGTGGGCTGATTTGCATCAAAATCTGCCCATGTTGAGAGTATTAGCCGCCATATGAATGCGGTGAACCACCCACAAAGTAATCTGTGCCTGCATGTGAGCACCAAGCCGCAGCACAGACTGTTGCCAGATGTTACCGCCAACCAACTCGCCAGCTGTCAGTCAGGACCAGAGGTTGGCTAATCATTAATCTGATTTAGACAAGCCGTAACCTACACCCTGGGGTGAGAAGGTGTTTCAACCAGTAAGTGTTACTCTGATATAAATTCAGTCGATTCATATCCTTGGCCTTGAGGTCAAGCTTAGTTGAGCAGCCAGGAAACCCAATTCATTCCTCCCCTGCCCCGCCTCCTCTCCCTGCTAGCCAGAGGTGAAGTAAGTAGCCTGCTGTGGCTCATCTCTGCGAACCCTGCTGAGTTTCACTTGGAGAGCAAAGCGAGGTTCTTTGGGTAAATCCGACATCTTTTATTAGACTAAATCAAACAGTTGGAAAAATTCTTCTTAGCAAGCTTTTGGGCACAAACGCCCTTTCTCAGGCTGAGGAAGCGTCTGCAGTTGGTCTGTGCTCTTCCTGGATGGAGTAATAAAGCAGCCAGAGGCCTGTACATATACAATGAAGCCAGTGAGTTCAAATGTACGTTTTACCCAAAGAGTCTTGCTGCCTATGTCCTTAGACCAACACAGCTACAACCTCCTATACCCCCGAAACCTAGAGAGCCAGCTTTTTTTCATTTGAAGGAACTGAAGGAAGGATGAAACGTTTGAGGAACTCCAGAGACAATGACTTATTAATCTAAGGTGGGGTAGAGTCGACATGCGGTTAGAAAAGAGTCTGAGACTTGCAGGACTTGGGCTTCTGTTCCTCACTCGGACGCTGGTTGATTTTGATTTTTCAGTCTTGAATTTATTGTCGACGAAAGGTGGGGGGAGTGATGTTTTCACCCTTTGTGAGGGTTCGAACAGGCCTCATAAGTTGCTCTGGTGAAACATTTTGAGACCTTTCCATGAAAGAGGGGAGACCATAAGACTTTTGGGGTGAGATGATGATCTCCTTGGCCCCTCTTACAAGCCTCCCATTGGAATCAAGGGAACTCATCTTGCAAGATCGGTTTAGGGAGCAGCTTGGTAATAGTCCTTTCGCTGTCTACCTATCGCTCCTTTTCTCAAGAATATCAAAATGATTTACCACCGTGGCTGGATTAAGCCCCACAAGACCCCTTTGAGGTAGGTACGTATTATCCTCGTTCTACGTAGGGGGGGGGAATTGACTCCTGTGGACATAAAGGTTCACATTTACTTTGAGTTTCAGCACCTCAGCTCTTGAGCGGTCAACTTTGGAAGCCTGGGCCTGCGTTTCAGGGGTGCTGGGCCTGCTGACCTGGAGCTACGAATGGTTAGCTCCTCGGAAAGCTGGGTGTTGCGTTTCGAGAACAGGAGACCCAAAGCTTTTGACAAGCCGGACTTGCCTGAATACACAGCAGAGCTGAGGCCAAACCCAGATCTCCAAACACGTTGTTGTTTTTAGCGTTGCACCGTGATATATTCTTCCCGCAGTAGCTCCACTTTTTCTCATTCAAATGGAGCCCGTTCTTACGTCTGCACCATCCATATGGCAGATGCTCAACTATGGGTCTAAGGGATGTGATACACAGTGACTCATATGTATTACTTTGTTTGCCTAGGTGGGTTTTCCTGTACGAGAAGGGTTATCAGTCCCAGGATGGCGTCGTCAGCTCAGTGTCAGTGAAGCTCAAAGGTTTAGCTCTCACTAATGTAAGTGGGATGGGCCCACACATCTGGGATGTGGCCGACTATGTTTTTCCACCTCAGGTAAGGAAGAGGGAGGGTTTTTATTCTACTTTGTCAGCACTTTGCAGAGGGGAGGGAGCTAACAAATGGCTCCCTAACTCTACAGCCTCTCCTTAAAGCAGCTTGTCTTCAGTGTCTAGAAGAACGATACTTCTGTGTTCCCCTGAGGGCCTGACTTTTGACGGCGCTGAGCTTCAGGAACTTCCTCTTCAAGCCCATAGGAAATGGAAGTGCTTGGCACTGATGAAAAATAAACTTCTCAGTTACTGCTTGCTCACGATGAGAGTTGCAGTTCACTTTGTGCTGAAGCCTAAGGGGGCCATTGAACCACAAGCGTTTCGACGCACTGAATAAATGTTAGGAAAGATCTTTCTTCCCCCACTCCATGTCCCTCCCCTTCCCCATCTTCTCTACTTCTGTTTAACTCTCTCCCTCCTGCTGTTCAGAGGTGTTTTGTGATCAAGCCCAAACTTCCGCCTTACGCTAACAGGGCACTTCAAAGACTACTTCTGGGAGCTGGGAATCCCTTTGCTGCGCTCCAAGACAAGCTATCCAAACAGCTGGTGTGGCCATAGAGCGGCAAAGGTCCCCATGCCAGCCCAAAAGGGCGGTATCCCAGAACATTGCAGCTAGTTACTGGAGGCCTCGGCCTCCGTATCTGGTTAGGTGACGCTTGGTTTCTGTCCGGGGTGACGTGGCTGGATTCCCGGTTAGCTGGTGAGAAGTCCTGGGCCGGAGTCCGGCGGGTTGGTGGATGGCAGGTGGGCAGGCGCCACTGCGGCTATGCAGGAGCAACGTGGGCAGACATACGGCCGCACTAAGATGCCACCTCCAAGGTCGCTACACTCCTTGCTCCCACACAGTGGTAGTGGCGCCTGCTTGCTCACTTGCTTGGCGCGCCACACTGCTCCTCCTCCTCGCTCGACTCTGCTCTGGGGCTTTTGGCCGACCAGCCAGGACTGGCCTGGCCAAACAGAGGCGTAGAGTCGCCCTGTTGCTCTCTCTTCCTGGTGCTGCTCCCCATGGCAGCAGCTCTCCTGTCCATGAGAGAGACTGCTTTCCTCTTACTAGCAACCGCATCAAAGCCTTCACCTAGGGGGATTGGTAGGAGGGGTAAAGACCAGCCTGAAGAGAGGAGGAAGGCATCTCTCTCGCACTGTGCCTGCCAGCACGTGTCTAGCCTAGGCACCTTCTGGCCTACACTTCAAATGGGAGGTTGGTGCCCAACCCTCTGCCCAGTAACAGGAAGAAATCCTTGAAAATGTCTTCACCTTTGATCTTACCATCTTCTTCTTTGTAGGGGGACAGTTCTTTTGTGGTGATGACTAACTTCATTATCACACCTGGACAGAAACAAGACACGTGCCCCGAGGTAAATAAGACCACTTCGTATTTGCTCCCATCCCACCCATGACTCGTTTCCTTTAATTTTACGTTTACGCCAAGTTGGTGGCAAAATCCAGGAAACTGTCCCTCCTCTCCGTCCTCCAATGCTCGCCTGTCTGGGTGGTTTCACCTTGAGCTGACGGCTTTCTCCAAGGTGAAGGAGGAGCACTCAAGTTAGCTCAGCGTGTCAGTTGTTGGTGCAGTCATCAGTGGCGATCAAGGGTTATTTCAAGGTATGGCTGTTCTCAGTTAAGCTAAGCTAGCTGGAGAGATGCGAATGCATCTTGATAAACCACGTTGTCAGAGTATGGCAGTGCTTGTCTGCACGTGCAGTCAGGAAAATTTTTTGTAATGAAAATTTGAAGTTGATTAGTTAAATTGTGTTAGACCCCTGTGTGGACAGACTAATAGCTTACTCAGGATTGAAGTGGCCTTCATTCAGTTTTGCTTCCTTTCCTTCCAAGCTGAATTAAGATGAGCAGAATTAAGGCTATTTCACAGTGGTTTAACTAATCCACTTTGAGTTCATGCTTTTACTTACTGAAGATCAAGTTCCCTGAGTGTCCCCGTGTAGACAAGCCCCCAGTCTAAAGACAACTGGAGTTCCCTGCTGGGCAGCTTGAGGAGAGCTTTCCCAGGGAGTTGAGTGTGCAGGGAGGTATTGCTCCCCATCTGAACCACTGAGATATATCTGCTTTCTTTCTCAAAACAGCTGCCACATGCGGGACGTTGCCATTCTGACAGTGACTGTCCCAAAGGGGAGTACAAACGTAAGGGACAAGGTAAGATTATGGGCCTCAGCCCAGGTCATGCCCCCAAAATCTAATAGACATGGATGATTATGCCCTTTGTATAAACTGGGAACCAAGCCACTAATTGATCAAATGATCTGTGCTTGAGAGTCTCCGTCACAGGAGCCTTTGACAAGGCTGCAACTTGAACCCAAATCCCTTAAGCCATGTCTAAGGGCCTCAGATGTGAGCTTGATGACGAGCACATCTATTTGATGGACATTCCTCTGCTATAATGGTGAGTATGAACTCTCACCTCTTTCCTTCAGGTATCATGACTGGGAAGTGCATAGATTTCAACAGTACTGTCAAGACCTGTGAGATATTTGGCTGGTGCCCTTTAGAAGTAGACGATCATATTCCTGAGTAAGGAACTATTTCACACATCATTCCCATTTCCCAGCTTGCATGAAAGGGGTACTGCCGCTACTGGTATAAAGTTAGGCTTTGCCCAGGCATAAGACCGGTCACTAATGACTGCTGTTTCTGGCTAAACTTTGACGTTTTCTCTGACTCTGAACAGACCACATTTTGACCCTGCTGCATGGTGATCTAGCTTAGGGTGGCCAACCTGCAGCATGGGTGCCACAAGTGGCACAAGCAACCTCTGTGCCATGGCACTCAGCGGACGGGGAGGGGACAGGCAGCAGAGGTATCCCAGGGGACAGGGCAGGGAGCAGAAAACAGAGCATCATACCAGGCCGGAAGCACAAGGCAGGAAACAGAAAGCAGTAGATCAAATAAGGGAAAGGGATCAGAGTGGCACTCGGAGAGGGCACAAAACAAATTTGGGGCACACTTGCCAAAAAGCTTGGCCCTAACTCATCTAACTACAGCTTTGCAGGGGAGCAAATAAATCCTTGGTGGAGGGTGATAGAGGCAGGTCCCCTTTTGCAGAAGGAGTTGCTTCCCGCCCCCCCCGCCCAACCATTCTGTCTGTCTATCCGTCTCTCTGTCCATCTATCTCTGAGTAGGAAATTCTCTGTAGCGTTTTGTGGATGACACCAGATGCCTCAGATTGTCTCAGGTCCTCGTCTTCCAGTGGTAGCTCGCAGTCTTCCTTTTCGGATTCACGCATCTTGGCAATTCAGAGTTGCTGAGTCTCTGCCCATCCTGCAGCGCTCCCACTCCAAGAGAACTCAAGGCTACAGCACCCTGTGGGTCAACTGTTGGGCACTTGTTTCTCCTTCATGCGGCCTGTGACCAGTAGTGGGTAGCTGTGCAGCCTCACTCAGATGCTGATGGGCTTTGGGATATACTGTTGCCCAGAGTTTCAGCTGGGCCCTCTTTCCCCCAGTCCTGAACAGTGAGGCTTCTTGGAGTCCTGGATATGGGCTGGAGAGCATCCTCTCCTTTCTGCGGCTGGAAGGGATCTCATCACAGAGGAGGAGGAGGATCTGCATAGGAGCAAGTTAATGCATGGGACTGCAGGGCCCAGGCTCGGGGCTCCCTGCCGATCAGGGACACCAGGGCCTGGGCAGGCACAGAGCTCCATGTGGGTGGTGGCAGCTTCCGGGGACTGTCTTTTTGCAGGATGCCCCATGGGCAGCCACACTCCTACTCCCGCTCTCCATCATCTGCGGGCAGCCACTGGCACCAGTGCCACTGGGACAGGATGGGATGGGACAGCCCTGTCCTGCCACGCCTGGCAAGGGTCCAGTCCTGTCCTGTCCCGTCCCCACCCCTGGCTCGCCCCAGATGTGCCAAGGAGACTGGGCAGACCCAGCCACAGCCCCCTGGCAGACACAGAGGAAACGTGCCCTTGCCTGGCAGGGACCTCCAATTTTCCGTTTGTCCAGAGCCCCAGTAAATCTTAATCTGCTGCATCTGTAGGAGCCCCCACAACCATGGGCCCTGAGCTTGTTGATGTAGAGGTTTGCCCAGGAATAAAGGAATCTGGGCCAGAAAGTGCTGTACAGTTGTGTGCATCCAAAAACCACCTAGCATGCATCAAGTCCATTGTCCTCTGTACCGGCCAGTGGTATTTATGGCTAGAATAATTAGAGGAAATTTGGCTTTTACGTTATTGCCTCTTGGGTTGTATGGCATTATTTACTCCAATGAAATGTCGGCATGTTGAATAGTGAAGGGAGACTTTTTCATTAGGCTTTGAGGGAAGGCCATTGTGCATTTTTCTGCACGGCAGATGCTTCTCCTCCTTTTGGTGCTTCTTAGCTTTTACCTAGGATGCTGTGGAATTTGTCCTTTTTGCTTAGAGAAGGCCAGAACAAGATCAAATACTTCATTGGGCCTTGACTGTTCTAATTTGGATGCTATCCCATATTTCTTTCTACCTAATCTTCCTCTCTTTATGGTAATTACTTAGAGGTTGGCTAACTGAGCAATGAACATTTGTTACTGCTTGTATTTTCCAGCCCTGCACTGCTCATAGCAGCTGAAAAGTTCACCTTGTTTATTAAGAACAGCATTACTTTCCCCAGGTTTAAAGTCTCCAGGTGAGTAAATGTTTTAGTTGTGTGACAGGTCACAAAATGTATTGCTGTTATTCTGGAAAGGCTTCTTTTCATGTGGAAAATAATTACTTATCAGCAAGCGCTTCACCACAACACACTTTATTGTCCAGTAGAGCTAATTACTGTCCAGTGAGCATCCATGTCTATACATGCAGATGCTTCCTGCACGGCAATTGGCTCTAATCATGAGTAAATTTACTTGAGATTACTTACGGTGCACTAGCGCACATGTAAATGCCTGACCAGAAGCAAATATGCTCCCAGGCAGCAGGGGGCAGGAGATTGCTCCCTGCTTCTGGGAGCTGCCTGCTGCCAGGCCAGGCTCCACCACTGGAGCCTGGGCAGGGACAATGGACCCCTGCCCCAGCAGCAAGCAGCTCTCAGCCCCCGCTCCGTGATTGTGGGGCCCAGGCTGGGAGATCCTTATCTTCCAGCGCCAGCTCTGCGGTCGTGGGGCCGGCACTGGGAGATTTGTTTCTCCCAGTGCCAGGTATGCACGGAGCTGGCACTGGGAGAGAAAGAACTTCTAGTGCTGGCCTCACAACTGTGGAGAGCTGGTGCTAGGAGACAAGGATCCCCCCCACCCCAGGCCCCATGATTATGTTGTGGGGGCTGGGAGCTCCCTGCTGCTGGGGCAGGGGGACAGTGTCCCAACCCCAGCCAGGAGACAGCTGGACTAGTACCCAGGGGGAGCCTAGAGTTCCCCCTACTTGCTGCAGGGGCCCGTTGCAGGGCTGCAGGGAGTGGGAACAGTCTGCTGCTAGGAGCAGCAAATCTCCTCCCGCATCCCTGTACTTGTAGACACATGCCCAGGAGAGTTTACTCCTGAGTAGTTTACTCTAGTAAACTGCTTCCGAATTATTTGCATGTGTAGACGCACCCACTGAGTCCAGTGCTGGGTTTGTTATGGGCTGCTGAGGTCAAACCATTAGCAGGAATCAGGGCTGGTTCTCAAACCGTGCAGTAACCAAAATGGGGACTCAACCCAAGGGCCTCTGAGCAATGAGGCTACACAGGAGTAAAGTTATTAGCTTGTTTACAAAACCAGACCCTAAATTTAGAGCACATGCTCATAAGGAGCACTTCAGCTATTTAAAACCTGCTGCCTTTCCAGCAAAAACTTGAGTCTAAGCCATAGTTTGGTCTTAAAACCAGAGAAGCAAGTCATGCAGTGCAACAGTGAGAGCAGAGTTCATGTACTTCTTTTTCTGTCTCTTGCTTTTTTAATATTATCTGGAAAAAAAAAAAAAATGCAAACGCATTACTAGAGTGGGAGCAGGTAAAACACCAGAACAAGAACTTTGCCTCAGTTTTTCAGTCAGGACAATGATGTTGAACACGGTGTTAGAAGCAGCATAGCTAAGGGGAATGAGGCTATGGAAACAGAAAACACCACAAAACAAACTGTAAAATGCTCAGGCTGTTCAGAGCTCAAAGAGGACTGAATAGTTTCCACCCCAGGATCCTGCAAGAGCTGCCTAAGAAGCTGCAAGTCTGGCAGCAAGGACTTTTGAGATTGTCAGAGATCCAGAAGCACTTGCCCCGTTGGGTGCAAAATGGTAGAAAATCTGAGGGTGGGGGAGGAGTGATGAGTACACTCATGATAGCAGGGGATGAGAGGCAAGTATTTTAAACATGCCTAAATGCTAAGTGGAACCGAAGCTTCTCGGGAATCCTTATCATCTCTCCAGTAGCTAATAAGAAGCTAGCACGTGAGATTTTAAGACTAGCCAAGTTCTTTGTTTTTTGAATTCACAGACGCAACCTTGTTGAAGCTGTTGACAATAAGTATATGAAAAACTGCATCTATCACAAAGTCGACCATCCATTATGTCCCCTGTTTGAGCTGGGATACATAGTAAAAGAATCGGGTCAAAATTTCACGACATTGGCCCACAAGGTATGTAGATCCCATCTGACATTTTGCTGCTGTAGTGGGCAGGTAGGGGGATACCCGAGATTAATCAAACTGTCACCTTTGAGCCGTCCAGATCTTTACAGCCTGCTGTTCAACAGATTTGCATGAAGTTGTGCTCAAAGTGTTATGAATCTATACAGAGGATTTCTGCAATTGCTGAAGTGACTAAATATTGACATCCTCCATGGTAGTGAATCTGCCATTGTAAGACTGGCAGCACTTCTCCCCGAGACAATTCCTTTGTGATTTCTAAAACCAACTGAGGAATTTGGAGGCCTAAATCCTATGGATTTGGGTTTTTAAAACCCCCAGCCCAAAGGTCAAACCAGGAAAACTCCACAATGTTGTGTTCTTTACAAGATTTGATTGTATGCAGACTTTCCCTTCTATGTCAGTTGGTATTTGCATAGCGCAGCCACAGCTGCACTTTTTGCATCGCACAATTAAGTGTAATAAGTAACATTAAATGCAACCATAGCTATAGCTGCTAAAAGGTGTTTAAAAAGAAAAAGAAAACCTATTAAGCCCCAGTTAGCTAACTCTGGGAATCAGAGTATGCTGTATTTTAGCCTCTGATCCAGCTGAGTTTTAAATATCATAGTTTGGCAGGAAAATATTCTACAGGTGAATCCAGTTCATTTTGAAGAAGTTTCTCTTGATCTGGGATGCAGCATATCCTTTTCCTCTCTTGTTCTGCTCTTAATCCTCCTTTGACCTACCTTAAATAATTCCTTCTCCATTTGTGACTGTGTGATCCCTTCAGATATCCACAGGTTGCCCTAACATTTCCCCGTAGTTATTGTCCCATCACGATGCACAAGGAAGATCCTTAGACAACAAGCTGGCGAAGTCCCATAGATCTATTATATACACCCTGTGTAAGACCCTCATCAGCCAATTCTCATTTCCTTGTTATTTTAATGTCTGAACCCATATTTCTGATGCTTCGTATATTTTATCTGCCACAGAACTGAGCCTTCAGAAAAACAAAACCAACAGGGTTGTCCTGCAGTACCATATTAGCAACAGGTTTAAGCTGCAGGGAAATGTGATATAATCTGCAAATACAGGTCAGAAAAGGTTATTTCATATCAGGTTACTGATTGTGTTTATTTGCCGGGTTGCTGATAATGCACATTGTGGGAAGTTACGTTAAAAAGGTTTTAAATAAATAGAGTGGCCAGTCTCCACCTATCTCATCTTGTTTGACCTGACTATCAAGGAGTTTATTATGGCTTCAGCTAGGGCTGCTTCCTTTATTGCTCTTTGTTCGTGACAACCTCTCTACCTCCACCTGGGCATATGCACAAGTCACCTGCCTACATGTTAGTACTGTCCCACAGAGAAGAAGAAGGAGGTGTGAAGTGTTTTGAGGATACCCTGTCAGTGTTGCTCTACTGGTTATGTGAAAAATGACCTCGGGAAACCAGCGTGCCCTTACTCGTCCTCTCTCCTTCCCAGCCACAAGAGTTAGATTTATTTCTTGCAGTCCAAGCCTGACCTCCCAATCGCTCTTGATGTAACAACCCACAAAAGTAGGGTACTAGATGTTGATTTGCTGAATTGCCTGAAAGGGCGAGTAAACGACCCTGAATCAATCCATGCGAACTGCCGCACGTGTAGAAGTAGGGGCTGCACACTAGACTTCCCTTGTTTCTGCTTTTTTTGTGCTTTGACTGATGGACTGAGGAGTATAGCAGTTCAGTTAAATAGATCAGACTTCCCTGTTTAGGATCTGACGTGATTTGAAGCAATCAATTTGGGCTTTGACAAGCACCCTGCAGTCTTTGGCATTAGTAGCCAGGTTTATAGCTTCTCATAGCTGTGCACTTGGACACGGGTTATTGAATGAATGAAAGGGAGCAATGCAAAGCATTGTAGGCGTGCAGCACTGGTCACTGTAGCCAGCCTTACCAAGCCCCAACATGCTGCCATCGGGATTTCTTTGACTCTTCATATCGTACCAAATGAGACGATATGAGATAGTGTGGGAGAAAGAGAAAGTCCTATGAATGTCTTCCCCGGCACGGCCATAGGAAATGAGTCTTAGGATGTCACGATGGGTTAGTCTGCATGATGGGTACAGAGTGGAAGTCCTACATCACTGAGCGTAAAGAAAGAAGAATAAATTGACAGGATTTGTCTCATCATAGTTTGGACCTTTGACAGCCTCCTCAAAAAGTGAGTGTGTGGGGATAGAAAGAGCTGCTTTTTGCAAACAAAAGAGCTAAACTAAAAGGCAGAATAATGGCCTGAAAACAAGTGTCTGCACGATGAGAGCGCTGATATTTTGCAACTTTGATTATAGGGTGGAGCTGTCGGCATCACCATAGATTGGGACTGTGACCTCGACTGGCCTGTGACTTACTGTAAACCCATTTATGAGTTTCATGGACTTTATGATAGTGAAACAAATGTTTCACCAGGCTTCAACTTCAGGTATGAGTGACCTTAGTATCTTTTCCCAATAGGACTTCATATGTGGCTTTCTTTTCATCTTCCGCTATCCCAAGGCACTTTACAGGTAGGGTGACCGTATGTGCCATTTTAGCTGGGACAGTCTCGAATTTCAAAGGCTGGTTCTGGCTGGCTGTTGGGAATTATAATGGGCATCCTGGAAATGCATGGGTGCAAGGCACAGTCTGGTCAGGAGTCGGAGCAGTGCAGAGCACCTCGCAGGCAGCCCTGCCCCTGAGTACATGGGGTGGGGGAGCAGTGTCCTGGATTTCTGGGATGATGTCCCAGATTTCTGGGATTTCCATATGGTCAGCCTATTTACAAGGTCCCATAAAATAGGTATTATTTTCTCCATTACCAAAATGAACGCTGTCCTTGCAATGCCAAATAGCAGACTGTGAAAAGTAGTTTGCACTTCCCTGTCCTTAAATGATTTCTTCTTGTCCTCTTCCTACCTTCTCCCCTCCCCAAATTCCTAGCTCTTAACCACTGAAAAATCCCCCAGGAGACTGAAACTAATACAGGGCCACTCCACAATTTTTTTAAAAGATTAATGACACGGTATGCATTTATTTGCTGAAATGGGGCTGGCAGGTTCTATGGTTATCACGGTAACTATGAGTGAGTGAGTTTTTCTGAAGCCGGCACTGCATTTCATACCTAGCTCTTACATGACGCTTTGCATCCTTAGATCTCAAAATGCAAGCAGGGCAGTATCTTTATGCCCATTTTACAGCTAGACCGTCAAAGGCACAGAAAGAGGAAAGTCCCTGTCCACGATTATACGAATGGTCAGTGACAGGGCTCAGCACAGAATCTGAGCAGAAGTGCAGTATTCTGTCCCCTAGCGTCAATGGGATCGCTTGGGGCGATCAATGGACTCTTACTGCAACTCCCTTGAGTCCTCAGTGGGCGCATCTACACATATTATTACCGCGCATGAATAAACCCCGGAGCTTACTGCTCCAGAATTTATTGCTCCCAGGTGTGCTGTTTGAAGATGTGCCTGGGAGCAATAAACTCTGGAGCAGTAAGCTTCAGAGTTTATTCATGAGCAGCACGCTGAGCTGGATTTGAGCAGTCCCGGCTGATGAGGGCCCCAGGGGATCAGCCTGCTAGGACAGGGCTGCTCCCGCTGGCTCAATGTGCTGCAGAGGGACTGGCTGGGTGCTCCACTGTGGAGCCAGCCAGGGCAGTGTCTACGCATGCACTGCTGCAGAGAATTTACATGTACTATCCTGCTGTGGAGTAAATTAGTTTACTCCGGCCGAATGGGGGCATTTATTATGCAGGTTATTAGTCTACCACACAGTAAATGTCTTGCGCAGATGTGCCCAGTAAGAGTTTATCTGGAGTAAGGACTAGGGAGCTGGTATCACTATCCATACGTGAGTAATCCTATGGACCCTGGCTCTTCTGAGCATGAAGGCAGGATCAGGACTAAGCAATCACAGAATATGTTCCAAGTGTAGCGAGCATAATGCGTACAGTAAAGAACAACGTCTTTGAGTTAAAAATAAATTAAACTTAAGTCAAACTTCCTAAAACCAGCCAATCATCTTCTGAATGGGCCTCTCATCCATGGTTAAAGTACTGTAGTGATCAGCAGGGATCCGAGTTTTCCATTTCTTGCAGAAAAACACAGATTTTCCTCTTTAAAGGATAAAAGCCTGGATTTCCCCTTGCAGGTTGGCAGAGTCTCAGCCTGCAACAAGCTGCTTGGGGCTGAGGGGAGCAAGGGAGGGCAACTGGAGGCAGGGGGTGCCACATGCATGTGTGCACACACACATGTGCGGCTAGCATGTACAGCCCCGCAGGGTGGTAGAAGCAACCCTGGCAGTTGGATACAGGTAAGTCTGTGGGATGGGGACATGAGGGGGCTTGGGGACCCTTCAGACATGGTCTAGGCATGTCCATTGGCAACATGTTAGGGGCATATGTCCCCCCAGATTTGTGTGCCAACAGTAGAGCGTGAGGCACAGGGCTGCAGCCTGGCTGGACCAATACCAGGCATGAGCCACTTCCACAGCCCAGCAAGCAGGATCCGGCATGGGAAGGCAGACCTGGGTGGGGAGACTTGGTGTTGCCGCCACCTCTGCTGGGAGCCCTACACCACCCGCACTGCGATAGCCACCAAGGTGAGGTTCCCCCTGCCTGCCCAGCAGCAGTGGGGGCAGCAATGTGGAGTTGTTTCATCCCACTGCAGTGGCAGACAGGCACTGCCTCACCCTGGCAGTGATGGTGGCACAGCTGGTGTGGGGCTCCTGGCAGCGGTGGCAGCACCAAGTCTCTGCGTCCCACTCCACCTTCCCACCCCGGGTCCTACCTGCTGGGCCATAGAGGCCAGGCTGCAGCCCCATGCCCAGCACCCTGCTGTTGGCACAGAAATCTGGGGGGCATGTGCCCCCCCCACCCCCTGATACATGGCTGATGATATCACTTATGCCACACACACCCCCGTCCCACCCACCCAACCTTTCCCACAGACCACCTGGTGCGGGAGGGGGGTGGAGTGATGCTGCCAGGAGGAAGCAAGTAGGGGGCGGACAGGGGCTATGACTTGGGGTGAGGGGCACTGGGGAGGCTGTGGCTTGGGAGTGAGGGTTAACAGCATGGGCACAAAGCAGTGGGGGGGGGGGGG